GCCATTTCGTTCATTTTCTTTTTTCTTTTTTTTAGTCGATTTGGTATTGAGTCACTTGGTCCAAGGTTGGCATTAATCCAGGTTTGGTGACCTAGTGTCTATTCGTTTGTGGAAGAGTTTGTTCCAGTGACAGATTTTTCGTCCTCAGACTGGTTCCTCTCTGAGGAACGCGGCCCTTGTTGTCCCGGTTGACGGCCGATCCGGTATGAAATATTATTCGTATTCATTGAAATTTGTAGAGATTTGCGTTTTAACCTTGACTACCAAGGGATAATTATGTTCAAGTTACTAAGTTTGGGACGACTCTCGAACAAGACCCAAGGGCACGCCCAACCAGTGAGATTGGTACGAATGCAGCTATTATTATTATTATTATTATTATTATTATTATTATTATTACCACTCTACCTTTTCTTTCTCCTTTATACTCATCTTCTTCATTTTCTACTTCTCCATCATATTCTACATCATCATCTTCTTCCCATTATTGTTGTTATTATTATTATTATTATTATTATTATTATTCACCTCTGTCTTTTCCTCCTTCTTTATCCACATCTTCTTCATTTTCTACTTCTCCATCCTATTCACCATCTTCTTCTTCCCTCGTCTTCTTCTTCTTCTTCTTCTTCTTCTTCTTATTATTATTATTATTATTATTATTCCTCTCTGCCTTTTCTTTCTTTCTATCCTCATCTTTATCATTTTCTACTTCTCCATCCTATTCACCATCTTTTTCTTCTCCCGAATATTATTATTATTATTATTATTATTATTATTTCCCTCTGCCTTTTCCTTCTTCTTTATCCTCATCTTCTTCATTTTCTACTTCTCCATCCTATTCACCATCATCTTCTTCTTCCCATTATTATTATTATCATTATTATTATTATTATTATTATTATTATTATTATTATTATTATTCCCCTCTGCCTTTTCCTTCTTCTTTATCCTCATCTTCTTCATTTTCTACTTCTCCATCCTATTCACCATCATCTTCCCCTTCCCATTATTATTATTATTATTATTATTATTATTATTATTATTATTATTATTCCTCTGCCTTTTCCTTCTTCTTTATCCTCATCTTCTTCATTTTCTACTTCTCCATCCTATTCAACATCATCTTCTTCTTCCCATTATTATTATTATTATTATTATTATTATTATTATTATTCCCTCTGCCTTTTCCTTCTTCTTTATCCTCATCTTCTTCATTTTCTACTTCTCCATCCTATTCACCATCATCTTCTTCTTCCCATTATTATTATTATTATTATTATTATTCACCTCTGTCCTTTCTTTTTTTTCTTTATCTGATCTTCATTTTCTACTTCTCCATCCTATTCACTGTTTTCTTCTTCTTCTTCTTCTTATTATTATTATTATTATTATTATTTATTTATCTATTTTTTTTAATTTGGTTTTATTTTTAATCATTTTCGATGCTACTTTTAATATTAACAATCCTGTTGCCTGTCCTAACGATACAAACACCTGCTCAACGATTGTTAATGTTCAGGACGCAAGGACAAACGCGTGGATATGAACGTGAGAGACATGACGCATCCAATAAATAATTTGGCGCCAATTTCTTTCATCGAAACGTTACCTTCTCACCCATTAACATCATTTTTTTTTTACCTTTGTTTTACGTTAGTTAATTCGTATCACATACAAATGTAAGACCCACAAATCTCATCAACAAGACTGAGTGTAAGGGAGAATGAGAGAGACGAAATGAGGCAAAATGAAAAGAGTAAAAAGAAAGAAAGGAAATTAAAAAAGAAATGAATGATGTGTAAAGAGTAGGAGAAAGTAAAGTGTGAGAAAATGGAGAAAAGTGAAATAAAGAAAGGAGAATTTGATCGGTTGGTTGTTTTTTGCTTTGCGACATATCAACACCTCTATGGAGCATTTAATGCCGAAATCTAAATATGTTTACTCAATTTTATTTTATTTAAGATAATAATGGTTTTAGTGATGCAAATTTTCCTAATTAACCCCTAGCTAGGGAGAGAAGTGGCGGATTCTTATCTTCCCAAAAACAGATTTGCGCGTAAGTGAATATAACGAACCCAAATGAAATTGGAACTCCGCTCTCTGTTTAACAATTTCGAGCTATTATCCATTACACCACCTGCACATCCAAGCACCTGGTATTCCCACAGTGGTCACCCATCTAGGTACTGACATTCTTAACTTCGGTGTAAAGAAAAGAGAAGGATGTATTTAAGAAATATTGCTTTCATTTACTAAATATAGATTCGACAACAAGGCCACAAACATAGACCGTTAGGTCAGGTTCGAACTCAGTACTCGGGATATACAACACTGAATCGCTAAACATTAACTTACACTGAAACAAAAATCGCTTGAGAATGGATTGGAGCTATGGATTTTAAATTTAATTTTATAATTAAATTTAAAATTTTAGTTTCTGTTTTGAAACATGATAATTCCTGTGAAGCGATGAAACCATATTTTTAAAATAGAAAATAATTATAATATTGTGCTCTAGTGTTTTGTATTGATCACTGTTTTTTTTTTTCTAAATAAAATAATTATTAAGAATATCGGATTGTGCTTCTTACGATTCTTTCTTATTATTTTAATATATATATATATATATATATATATATATATATATATATATATATATATATAAGTTAACAACACTTAAGAGGCGACAGTCTGTTTCGTGCTAGACACAATCGTCAGGCTTGTCGCCTCTAAGTGTTGTCTTCAATGTTCACTTTTATATTTACACACGCTCTATCTCTGATATTGAGCACGTTATCCCATAAATATAGCAAACCTTAAGACTATATTTCTTCATATATATATATATATATATATATATATATATATATATATATATTAAGCGAAGTTAAACGAGTTCGTGCCTGGTCAATAACTAAAGGGATGACCACTTGGGAATGTCAAGTGCTGCAAGTATAGATGGGAAGTGGAGTAATGGATAACACCGCATTCACATAATCGGAATTGGAAATCGAAGAGCCGAATACCAATTCCAATCGGGTTCCTTATATTCTCTTACGCGCAAATTCCTTGGGAAATTATGGGTTAATTAGTCGAACTTGTATCAGTAAAACGTCATTAGTATCTAAAAAAATCTTACAATCTGAAAATATTTTCTGGTTTCAAATAACGTGTAAAAGGTCGATAAGCAGTAAAAAAACAAATCAATCAAAACCTTAATTTTTAAAGGATACCCGTATTTGAAATAGACGACTAGTTTTTATTGTATTATCTTCTCCCCCAGCTATGGGTTAATTAGTAAAACTTGTATCACTACAGCTTTGTTATCTAAAAAAAAATCTTCCAATCTAAAAATATTCTCTGGCTTTAAATAACCCACAAAGGGTTGATAAGCCGTAGTAAACGAATCAATCAACCAACCTGAGAGAAAGGAAGATTTATTTTATACTTTTATTGTTCTCGGAATGATCTTAATGTGTGTAACAGTATTTATTCCCAGTGCTTCTGTTATTATTGGAACTGTTGTTTTGTTAAAATAGCACATTCTTGCAATTTTAGAGACAATTTTTAGAAACATTTTAACAAATTATTTTTTAAAATAATTTCACAAAAACGAAGGAAAAAAGCCACTAAGATGGTAACTGAGTATGAAAGCAAAAAAGGACATTGTTAAGGAACAATAATTGTAAAAGAGTTAGATAACAATAGACATTGCATTTGAATTTTTGAAGATCAAACTTGGCTGGAAAGTATGTAGCCGGAAGATAGTTCCTCAAGCAAGAAGTGCGAGAAAAGAAACTGTTAGCAAAGAACTTGTGGTTACTTCTAGCCAATTAACCTATAAATTAATGAGACCTCGCTGCCAATCTAGTACTGCGTTTAAATTCATAATGTCTAGGTACTATAGCGAACAATTATCATGAAAGTATTCATAGAAAAGGCACAGAGCGGTTACATGGGAGAGTGACTGAAGCTGGGATCCCAGGTCAAAACCAATAACATTGCAAATTAATGTTTTAATTTTATCAAGAATCGATAAATAGATAGGGGGAACATCATACCTTATGTGACAGCAATATTATTATTATTAATATTCACGATGATGATGATGATGATGATGATGATGATGATGATTCCTTAATATTCTTGCTATATTTTCAACCATTTTTATACGGTCGTTCATTTTATTTTGATAAACATACTGATAATTTTGTCAATTTAATATCAAACGCATTCATTTCTTCTTCTTCTTTTTCTTCCTCTTCTTTTTCTTCTTCTTCTTCTTCCCACTTTGATCTTTTCTTCTTATTATTATTATTATTCACACTTCTTCTTCTTCTTCTTCTTCTTCTACTTCTTCTTGGTATGACGATAAACTACATCCAGCAGCAAGGCCTCTGATCAGGAGGTTTTGAGGATCGTGGCATCCCCTCTTAATTACTGTTAGGGTCCCATCAATGAGCAGATAGTTAACCTCCAAACTGGGTTCAAAATTCTATGAAAGTGTAAAAATACTTTTTAATACCAGCAATACATTTTTAACAGTACATATTAGCAGCAATGGATTTTTGAAGGAAAAAAATATTATCAGCAATACTTTTTTGGAAAAAAATATTACTAGCAATAAATTTATTTTCGGCATTAAATAATCCATTGAGGTTGATATGCAAAGAAACCAAATCAATCTCCTTTTTCTACGACTGCCTTTTCTTTATCTCTTAATAAGAAATACTTATTATTTCGTGGAAAATGTGAATTCACAAGTTACTCGTTCAGGAAACGGAAATCATGGGCAGTGTCTTTGGCCGTTACGGTCAAAATGGCAAAGGAGTAAAACAGAATAGATCGCCATGTTATTTCCAGTGAGCGCTGACCTTGAACAGGTCATCCGGTGCAATAAATGAAAGGTCAGCCAGTACAATGATCGGTGTTTCTTTTTAAAACGATAACTTCTCATTAGTCTGTCTGCGGCTCTTTCTGCTTCACTTCCTGACCAGTTCTATTTTTGTCTCTCTTTTAGTGTCACGTGGCCGCCATCTTTTTCACATTCTATTTTTTTCCGTTTGAACTTTTACTTCTTTTCTTTTCTTTCTCTTTTTTTTCTCGATTTATTTCTTTTTGCTTTATTTTATTCTCTTTTCATACTTTTCCTCTTTGTCCGTCTTTTCTCTTTTGATTTCTTTTTCTCTACTTTTCTGCTTCTTTGTTTATTTGTATTGCCTTCTTTTTTTTCGTTTCTTTTTTTATTATTTTTTTTACTTCATTTCTCTGTCTTTTATTTTATGCATTTTCTTTCTTTTCTTTTCTCATGTTTCGTTCTTTCTTTTTTCTTCTTACCATTCGACATCTTAAAATGTCTTTCTTATTAAATCTGTTACGTTTTTCATTCTTATTCATTTGATTTGTAGCTTTTAATCATTATCTCACTCTTTCTTTCTATTTTATTTTCATTTTTTCTTCTTTCTTTCTTTCTTTCTTTCCATCTTTCTTTCTTTCTTTCTATTTTAAATTCTTTTTTCTTTTCCAGTTTAAATTTCTTCCTTTCTTCACATCTTTTCATTAAATGCTTAACTTTCATTTCTTTCTTTCTTTCTTTCTTTCTTTCTTTCTTTTATTCTTTCTTTTTTCTTTCTTTTTTCTTTCTCCTTTTTCCATTTTAA